AAAAAAAAAAACCTCAAAGAAAATTTCAAAAGAAAATTTCAGAATCGCCAAAGAAAAATTTTAAAAAAAAGTAATAATAATAATAATAATAATAATAATAATAATAATAATAATAATAATAATAATAATAATAATAAATACGATTGACGACGGTAATAACCGTGTAATTGCTTCACGTGAATATGTATAAGACGCAAATAACATTTTTCAAAAGGGAAATTTTTTTTTTTTTTTTTTTTTTTTACAACGGCCATTAAAAAAAAAAAAAAATTTTTTTTTCTTTTATATAATACACGCAAATTTTTTTTTTTTAATTTTATTTTACGGCATGTAAAAATTCCTTCCGTCTTAATATTTCAATTAAAAATTCTCTACCCCCTCTACTCCCCCCCCCAACAAAAAAAACAACAGCAACAGCAATTTTCAATGACGCCAACGCTAAAATCTAAAAATCTAAAAAATTAAAAAAAAAAAAAAAAACCGTTAAAAACCGATTCGGTCGAATTAAACCGATAATAGTAATTATTAAAACAAATAATTAACCGACAAACGAACCGAAGAAATTGATTTTTAAAATTAAAAAAAACAATTACGCAATCCGATTGATCGATCGATCGATCGATCGATGAATCAATCAATCAATCACATTATCGATACACCGTCGTAACTTTTTTTTTTTTCTTAAAAATATTTACTACAGATAAATGCAAAAAAAAAAAAATTATTATAACTTTAATAAGAATTGTTAGTGTTTGTTTTGTCTTCTGCTTCTCCTTCCCCTCCTCCTTCTCCTTTTTTCTCCTGCCACTTTAACAAATCACGTCTTTCAAAAAAAAAAATTAATGACAAAAATTAAGTAGGCATAACATAAACTTTTTTCAACTTTTTAAATCTTTTTACATTTTTCCCCTCCCCCCCCGTTTATTTTTAATTGAAGATGAAAAAAAAATTATATTACAGAGAGAGAGAGAGAGAGAGAGAGAGAGAAAGAATGAGAGAGAGAATAAGAAAGAGAGAGATGAAGAGAAACAAAAAAAAAAAAAAAAACTTTTAAAACGGAATCAATCAAAGTTGTCATGTCGAAATAAAAAAATATAAAAATTATTATTATTATTATTATTATTATTATTATTATTATTATTATTACTTATTCTTCTTGTAATTTTTCTCTTGTTTAATTACTTCCAAAGAAATCATTTTACTCTCACAATTTGTTTTATAATAATAATAATAATAATAATAACTTTCGGTCATCATGGGAGAACTCGGAGCCATGTCACATTCAATGAAAAAAAATTTGGAAATTTTAATAGCACCCCTCCCTCCCCCTCTAAAAATTCTTCCACAGCAGGTATTCAAGGATTTATTTCTAAGGAATCGGGTAAAAACCTGAAAAAACGTTTAAAAAACTCCGACGAATACACAAAATCTAACCGTGTTCGAATGCGATGATAATAATAATAATAATGGCAATAACGCGACTTTTCCGGTGCAATTCGGCTTTTCCGAAACTCCAATAAATACATAAACACATTATAAAAATAAAGTTTTTGTCGCGATTCGAACATTTCTTATACAAAAAAAAAAAAAAAAAAAAAACCGGAAACGATGCATATCATCGAATTGATTTTTGATAATAAAAAAAAATTAAATTTACAATAAAACGGAAACAGATTGACTGACGTCACACGTCGCTGAAATTTTTCACGAAATTTAAACGTAACAAAAAAACACGACGTGAAAAACATTTTTGTGCGTTTTGCTCCTGTCGAATAATTTTCCAAGAAGAAGAAAATTGCAACACACAATACCTCGCATGTAAAAAAAATAACAATAATGATAATAATAATAATAATAATAATAATAATAATAATAATAATAATAATAATAATAATAATAATAATAATTATGATTATAATGAACACGACGACGACGACGATGACGACAACAACGCAGAAGAAGATATTAAATTTAAAAATTATAATTAAAATTTTAATAGATTTTCACGCGAGAAAATAATAATAATAAACGAAGAAGCAAATTTGCTTCTTCTTTAAGAAAAAAAAACAAATTTCATTTTTTAGGTAAAATGTTTTAAAATTTTTACATCCGTCGTTTTTAAAAAAAAAGAAAAATTAAAAATGGAGAAGAAGAAAATGAAAAAGGATGATAATGATGATGATGAAGAAATTTTCATTTTAAACGTTACTCCTCTCCCTTTCGTTAAAATTTAATAATTTTTCACGAAAGGGATTTTCAATGATAATAATAATAATATTTGACAAAATTCCGTAAAAGATTTTTCTTTTTTTTTTTTTTAAAGTTAAAACGTTAACATATCAAACGAACAAACAAACAACTGAAAAAAAAAATTTTTTTCCCTTTCATCCTACGAATCCACGAAACTTCATAAAAAAAAAAAAAAAAAATGGCCGCCTTTTCGCTTCGAGCCAAACAAGTTTTTTATTCTTTTTTTCCCCTCCCCCCCCTTTCTTTTTTTTTTTGGGGATTTAAATCATTAATCACGACCGTCGAGACAAACACAAACACAAACGTAAAAAAAAAAAAAAACTGTCTCATCGTGTCATCGCTTTCAACATTTTTCTCTTCGTTATTTTGTCAAAAAAAAAAATCTAAATAATTATTATTATTATCATCGTTTAACCTTTGACGTCGACGACGACGACTTCACGCGCAAAACTTTTTCCAGTAATAGTCGACAATAAATTTTTTAAAGTTTTTTCTCCAGCAACAACAGAAAAAAAAAAACATTCGTGTAAATAGAAATAAATCGAATCGCGAATACATTTATCATACCTAACAAGAAAAAAATTCCCGCACATTTTCTCTCCCCTCCACCAGCTTCCCCCCATTTCCCCTCCTCCTTGAAAAAAAAAAATTCGTTTGCACTCCCCAGAAAACTTTTTTTTTTTTCTCTCTCTCTCTCTCTCTCTCTCTTTTTAATCTTTCCCTTGCGATCAAACAGTTTTCTTAAATAAAATTTATTATCACGGTATCTTTCAATTATTATTATTATTATCATCATCTTAACATTAAATTTTCTCCATATTTCCCCCCCCACCCCACCTTTTTTTCTTTATAATCATCCTGGAAAAATTTTTATTTTTATCATCATTATCAACGAATGATAAAAAGTTTTTTCCTTTTTTCCTTTTCTTTACTCCGATTCCAAATTTCTCTCTCTCTCTCTCTCTCTCTCTCTCTCTCTCTCTCGATACAATTTTTTTTCTCCCTTCCCTTTTCATCATTAATAATTCACGAGTTCCAGAATTATTCACGAACCTTTTAATGACGATCCCGGAGAGAGAGACAGAGAGAATAAGAGAGAGATAGAGAAAGAGAGGGAGGGAAAATATAGAGTTGAGTAAAACAAAACAAAAGACAAATAATCGATATGCAAAATTTGAATAATAATAATATTAATAATAATAATAATGATAAATAATTGTCATCGTTTTCTTACACACTCTCCCTTTCTTTCTTTTTTTGTCTCTCTCTCTCTCTCTCACTCATTTTTTTTTTTTTTTTTCGATAATATTTATTCCTGTCATTTGAATCGTAACGAACGACGAATCAAACACAAAGTTTTACAATTAAAATAAATAAAAAAAAAACAACGCTATTATTATTATTATTATTATCATCATCATCATCATCATTATTAAATAAATAACGAATTTTTTGTTAAATAAATTTATTTTTAAAACAACCGTTTTTTAAACAAAAAAAAAAAAATTATTTCGTAATAATGATAATGATGACGATGATACGAAATCGATTCTTATCACGCAACAACAACAACCGAAAATTTCAAATGGATCGATAATACGAAACGACCGATAATAATTACCTAATAATAATAATAATACTAATAATAATAATAATAATAATATATGCAGCAACCGTTATTTATCACGATAAAAAAAAAAACGCGTCCATTTTTTTTTTTTTTTTTATCGTAATGGAAAATCATCGAATGGAAAAAAAAAAAAAACAATGGAAAACAAACATTGACGCAAACAACGACTTCACTACATGTTACAGAAGGATAGAGAGAGAGAGAGAGAGAGAGAGAGAGAAATACAACAAACGTAAGAAATAGAAAAAAAAATGGCGGAAATAACTCAACTTTTCGAATTATTATTATTATTATTATTACGGTCATTAAATCAAAACGATAGCCTTTTTATTGAAACAAAAAAAATAAATATAGAAATTATAGTTAAACGTTATTCGAAACTTTTATTATTATTATTATTATTATTATTATTATTATTATTATTATTATTATTATTATTATTATTGTCATAGAGTAAAATATAATATCGAATTACCAAGCATGTAATATATATATTTAAACTGTTCAGCATTTTTATATAGCGTAAAATTATTGCCCCGCAAACGTCAACACCACCACCACCACCGCCCTTTTTCCCCTTAACTCCCCCTCCCCGTGGTTTCCTTTTCAGTTTTATTACAACGATTGTTCCTACTTTTCCCACGCGCACCTCTCTCGCCCAATTTGTCGTTGTTTGTTTTTTCCCGTATACTAAAAATTCAAGTCAAAACGTTTCCCGTTTTTTCTTTTTAAATTTTCCACAGCATTACATGTATTTTATTTCGAGGAATCGAAACAATTTTACAAAACTGAAAAAAACAAAACTGGATGAATTCCATGACGGAAGGATTGATGGGAGTTTTAAAAAAAAAAAAAAAAAAAAAAAAAAAAAAAAAAAAGGGAAAAAAAGGGAAAATACGTGACTTGAATCCGTAATAACAATAACGATAACAACTACGACGACGACGACGACGACGACGATGACGACGCTGTTGATAATAATAATAATAATAAAAAGACCGTAATTTGTGACGTAAAAAAAAAAAAAAACTTCTTCCCCCCACTCAGCGTTTTGAATATTAATACGATTTTTATTTTCGTTAAACAATTACATTGTTTTTTTTTTTTTTTTTAAGGGGGGATGGGAGAGGAGGAAAGCGAGGGTTTTAAACGACAAGGATACAGGCTCCCCGAAAAATGCAGATCGAAATCTCAACACGTAGGAGAAAGGAGAGAAGAGGGGAAGCTCACGCATAAATTCTCACATTGTCATTCTTATCGTAACAAATTTGTCTTCCGTTTTATCTTCTCCCACCTACCTACCTCCCCCCGTTATTACATATCTCATCGCGATTCTTCGAAAGTGAAAAATGATGATGATGATGATAATAATAATACTAAAACATATTTTCAATTATTTTGTTTCAGGAGTTCGACTCCGACCGACATAACATCTCAAAGGTAAGAAAAATTTTCCTTTTATTTTTTTTTTTTTTTTGCAGTCAAAGAATACGAAAATTTTAGATTTTCCCGTTTGTTTAATAAAATCTTTCACTTTCCCTCTCTCTCTCTTCCCTCCCCTCCCCCAATCGGACTTCAAATACAAATACATCATCGAAAACCTTTAAACAAGATTTTTCACGTTTTTCAAAAGAAAAATTTCATTTTTTTTTTCTCCAGTCATTCCAGTTTTATTTTCATTTTGCAAATTTTACTTCCATTCTTTTCCTTTTTTTTTCCTTTTTTTTTCCTTTTTTTTCCTTTTTTTTCCTTTTTTTTGGAAATTTTTCATCTCTATCAAAATATTTTTATTTAAATTTTCTTTTCTTTTCTTTTCTTTTCTTCGACTCCCACCAGCGTGAGGTGAATTTATTTTTCTTTCATATAAATCAGCATTACCAACAAAATAAAATAAAAAAAATTCAACCGACTAAATTTTCTCTTACGACCGATAACAGAAAAATTCTTCATCTTCTCAATTCCCCCTCTCCCTTTTTTTTTTTTTTATATTTCTTTCTTTCCAAATTTATTCTTTATTTTTTTCTTCCTTCTTTTAACTTTTAATTTTAACCTTTTTTATTTTTTTTTCTCCAAAAACGCATCAAAAATTAATTCAAATATTTTTCGTTTTTCTGGAGAGAAAAAAAAAACCCTTCGAGACCTTTTTAAATTTATTTTTTTAAAAAGAAAGAACAAAAGGTGTTCGAGAATAAAAGGGAAAGCGACGGGGAGGGGTAGGAGGAACAAGGCTAAAAAAAAAGAAATATTATACACGCGAATCGAAACAATTTTCCTCCAAAATTCTCCATCCATTAATTTTACCCAACGAAAAACCCACGTGACTCCTCCTGCTGGTGCCACCACCACCGCTCCCACCACCTCCTATCCATTCCAGCCCGGGGGGAAAACTCTTTTATCATTATCATTAATTATTCGAGTTTGACGATTTTAATTTGTATGTATCGACCGTCATTTTTTTTCATTCTCTCTTCACTCGCGTTCATTTCATTTAAAATTTACAGGAGCCGCAAACACACAAATTTTCAATTTCTTGTCTTTAATCATACATAGGATCATCGTCATCATTCCCCCCCTCTTCTCCTCCTCCTCTTTCTATCCGTCCAAGATTTAAACGGTAAAATTTAATTAATAAGCATTTTAAATATAATAATATTTTATTATCATTATTATCCGAACGTGAACCGCCACATTGGATTATTTTATGATATATACATCAGACGGATGGATAGATTATTCATTTAATAAATCCCATTCAAAATCCCTAAAATCACAATATTAATCGTTTACCGTTATTATTATTATCATTATTATTATTATTATTATTATTATTATTATTATTATTATTATTATTATTATTATTATTATTATTATTATTTTAATTAAAGGGTTTATAAAAAATCATCTCCAAACAACAAGCTCACAATGTACCTGAACAGTCGAGATCTTTTTTCGGCAAATTCAACGATTGATCGCCTTCACGGAGTCGTTTACGTCGATCCAGAGTATTTGGAAGAGAAAAAGGTAAAGAAAAACATAAAAAAGCTTTTTTCCCCACCCCTCACTTCTCCCTCCTCCCCCCGTTTCCGTTTCCTTTTTACAATCGGACGTGTTAACCTTTTCCAAAAAATAAAAAAAAAAAAAACAATTTTTTTCCTTCTACGAATATACTCGTAAACAAAAGAAAACAAAGAAAATCGGGCAAGGGTTGAAGAAAAGGACAAAGAAATAAACAGAGAGAGAGAAGGGAGAGGGAAGAAGAGAGAGGGTAAAAGTGTAAAAAAATACAAGAAAAAAAAAAAAATTGGCACAAGTCATTTTGCCAAAACAAAAACAAAAACATAAAATATAATAATAATAATTTAGTAAAGCGTCGGCTGCTTTTTTTTTTTTTTTTTTTTCGTTTTTTTTCTAGAACAAATTTATCATCATACGAGTAAACTTAAGCTGTTAAAAAACCCTCCCCTCCCATCTCCTTTACGCAAATCGATAAAAATCAATCCTGACACTTTTTTTTCGTTTGTTTGTTTGTTTGTTTACTTCACTCGCCCTCCTCCCCCCCGCATTGTATAAACATAAATGAAAACATAACAAAAACATTTTCATCATCATTTTTTTTTTTTTTTTTTTCGATATAACCAACAACGTTAGGAATGTTTAAAATGTCAGTTTTTCCATCGCCGTCTTTTTTTTTTTTTTTCTTTGCAAAGTCGTAAATTCTTGTCAGTGTATTATATTAACCACCTTCTTCGTTTTTTTTTTCTTTTTCTTCTTCCACGTTTTTTTTAAAATTTTTACATGCGTTCACGGGATTTTTTTTTTTTTTCATCTTTCACTCTTTCCATTTGGAAATCTTACGGAAAAAAAAACCTTTTTACTAAAAATTGATTTCTTTCACCTTAACGGGGATAAAGATACGATGGGAAGGCGGGGGCGGGAGGAGGAATTTAAATAATCCCAAAAAAAAATCCCGAAGGATAATTAAGTCAAACAAAAAATTTCATTTTCAAATAATAATCCGAAATTTACCCCCGCGAGATTATTTTATTCTCATCAAAAAAAAAAAAAAAAAAATTCTATTTTCGGTTTGTCGGAAGGAGTAGAAGAAGGGGGGAGGAGGGAGATTTTAGACAAAAGAAGACGAATAGGGAGAACCCCCTCCCCGAACAAAAAAAAATAAAAAAATAAAAACCGATAATAAACAATTGATTAAAAAGTTTTCCCTTAAAAACTTTTTCCTACGACGACTCCAAAATCGAAAACTTTATTTTAAAATTTTCCGATTTTTGTCGTTCGATCTGATAAAAAAAAAAAAAGGAAAAAAAAGGAAAAAGCTAAATGGAAAAATTTTAAATTTCGATTTTTCGAATTTTTCCAATATGGCGAAACGAACTGAAAAACCAGAAAAGAAATAAAATAAAATGGAGGAAAAAAAAAAAAAAAAGAATTATAATCCGAATTGGAATTAAATTTCAAATACGTAAAGTAATTTGTACGAGAATGAAAACTTTTTTTTCCTTTTCTTTTCTTTACTTTTCGTTTTTTAATCGAATGAAAGGTTCAACGATTTTCGATATATCGAACACGATCCAATTTTAATAATGATATTTACAAAAAAAAAATTTTAATTGCTCTCTCTCTCTCTCTCTCTCTTTGTCTCTCCCCCGCATTTTCCGTAACGTTTTAATTTTTCATTTCGTCATCTCTCAACGTACGACATTTTTCCCCCCCCCCTTTCTCTCTATCTCTCTCCCCTATCTCTCTCTCTTTTTTTTTCTTACGGGAATAAAATTAATAATCCAGAATTCTCCAGAATTCAGTTTTTTTTTTTTTTTTTTTAATTAATTAATGAATATTAATTCGTTTTAATTCGTTTAATTTTCGTTTTGGAGAGAGAGAGAGAGAGAGAGAGAAAAAAAAAAGATGGAAAAAGTCAAACGTATTAAATAAAACTTTTTACTTTTTTTCCTTCGTTCGATAATAATAATAATAAAAAAAAAAATTACGAAACGTACGAAAAAGGAAAAGAAAAGGAAAAAAAGGGAAAAAAAAGGAAAAAAAAAAGGAAAAATTATGTACCGGAAAAGAAAAAAAACTTTTTTGTATATTCAAGAGAGGAAGTCACACACACACGCACACACACATACAAACTCCGAATCAAAAAATCGTCAACGGATTTTATTGATCCGAAACAGACGAGTGAAAGAGAGAGAGAGAAAAAGAAAAAGAGAGAGATAGATAGAGATTTTCATTCGAAGCATTTTCTTTTCTCAAGCCTCTTTTTATTTTCTTCATATTTTGTAAACAAAAAAAAATAAACTAACTCTGCATAAAATCTTATACGTGACCAACGACCCAGAAAAAAAATAAAAAAAATTTAAATAAATTAATAATAATAATAATAATAATAATGTTAATTAATGATTTTCTAGAAATTTTTCAAAACTTTTTTTTTCATTCATTTATTATTATTATTATTACTGTTTTTGAATTTAATTATTTCGAGAATAAAAAATTAAAATTAAAAAAAAAAAAAAGGCCTGACAAAACCTGTCTAATCTAACACGAATTTTTAAAAGTTTTGTTTGTTTGCTCGTTTGTTCGTTCGTTCGTTCGTTTGTTTGTTTGTTTCGTTTTTTTTTTTTTTTTTTTAAACTTTTAAAAAACTTGGTGAAAAAAAGAAAAAAACAATTTTCCAGAGATAATTTTTTTTTTTTCCTCCCGATATCCTTTTCATATTTTTTTTTTTTTTTTATTTTCTTCATCCGATCCCTAATGAATTTTCCAGTTCGCAGTTTTCCCGATTAAAATTTTTCCCCCATAAATTTAACAAACAAAAAAAAAAAAAAAAAAAAAAAATGAAAAAATAATGATAATAATAAAAATAATCGAACAACAAAGAAGAGAAAAAAAAGAGAGAGAGTGAGAGATAGAAAAAGAGAGAATAACGGGGGGGTACGGGGGGGGGAGGGGGGGAGGTGAAAACGAGAGAGGGGGGAAAAATCGTGATCGTTTTAAAAGAGTCAGTCGAGTCAACTAAAAAAAAAAAAAAAAAAAAATTTCCATTTTTAACATCTCGATAATTTTTAATCTCTTTTTTTTTCCTTTTTTATTCTATTCTATTTCCACGGCAAATAAAACTTTTTATTTTTTCTATTCTATTTCCACGGCAAAAAACTTTTTTTTCTTTTTTTAGACAACCGAAAATTATCTGCAAACAAAAAGAGGAAAAAAAAGTTTTTCCTTTATTTTCTCATTTCATCTCTTTCTCCCTCTTTCTATCTCTCTCTCTCTATCTCTGTCACCTTTTATCTTCTTTCCCTTTTAAAAATTATTATCATTACTTTTTAATTATCGTGATTCTTTTTGCTTTTGTTTTTTTTTGCTTTGTTTTTCCTTTTTTCAGATATACGGACAAATAACGTTAACGTTCAGATACGGTAGGGAAGACGAAGAAGTCATGGGTTTGAAATTTTGTAACGAAGCCATCATGTGTCTATCGCAACTTTATCCACCCCACGAAAGAGCCATCGAAGAACGACCCACTGCGCTTCAGGTAACTAATAATTCATTCATTCATTCATTCATTCATTCACTTATTTATTTTTTTTTAAACGTGTTAAATTGCCAAAAGACGATTCATGCTCTCAGCCATCACTACCACCACCATCGCTCCTACCACGACAACATATAATTTATAAACAAACAAACCGGGTATAGAAAAACTTTAAAGATTTATTCTTTCATTTTATCTTTATCTATATATATATGCACACACAAACCAATAAATTTACCCAACTTTATTGTTTATTACTTTATATAAATAAAAAAAAAAAAAACCGTTAAAAACCGTTAACGTTTATTGATTTAAAAAAGGTTAATTTTATTAGTCCCACGTGAAAAATTTTAAAATCGACTTTTCTCGTCACAAATTTCTTATTTTTTTTCCTTTTTCTCTCTTTTTCTTTCTTTCTTTCTTTCCCTTCCTAGATGTCAAAGTCGTAAATTTACTTTAATTTATTTTTATATATTTTTAACATTTTCCCCCGTCCCTCCCCTCCCCCCCCCAAAAAAAAAAAAAAAACCAAATGTGATATTAAATTAAAACACAACCGTTGAAGGTAATTGCATTTTGGAAAATTCCCGTTTTCCATGTTGGCCGCAAACGAAACGCGTACGCGAATGCGATATCGAAGAAAACACATCTGGAAAATGTACAAACGACAAAATTAAAATATTTAAATACAAAAAAAACAAACGAACGAACAACCGACCATCCTTTTTTTTATACAAACAGTTAACGAAATGTGTTTACAACCTTTTCTTTTTAAAAATCGATTTGTTTTGTTTTTTTCTTAAACTGTCATTTCTTCGGCGACAAAAAAAATAAACTCGTGAGAATTTTTTAAATATTCGCAACAACAAATAAATAAATAATAATAATAATGATAATGATGATAATAATAATAGTAATAATAATAATAAAAGTAATATAATTTTCCTAATGCACGAAATCCGTTCCCTAGTAATTATTAAACGGTTTTAAAATTTAATCCGGTAAACAAAAAGAAACGAAAAAAAAAAAAATCCCTAAATTCCTCTTACGAGATTAAAAAAAAATTAAAAATAATAATAATAATGATAATAACAATAACAATAACAATAATAATAATAAATTAAGGTACAAAAAAAAAGATTTCCTACCGGAAGATAATAAAAAAAAAAAAAAAACAGAAAAAAAATTGAGATCCCAAAATTTTTGTCAAATTTCAAACAAATTAAAAAAAAAAATGAATAGATTATAAAAAGAAATGATAGATTGTCCGTATCTATCTATCTATCTATCTATCTATCTATCTATTTATCTATCTAGCTATCTATGTATCTGTTCATCCATCTATCTACTCATTCGAACATAATAAAATACGATTTTTTTATTTTTTCGAATTAAAATTGGGAAAAAAAATTCATTTTTTAATTTATCGAATCAAATTTTAAAACGTTCCAAACTTTATTATTATTATTATTATTATTATTATATTTCAAATTTGTAAAAAAGACGACAAATTTTTTCATGCGTTTGTCGGATTAAATTCAAGTTTATCTCCCTCAGGAATTAATCCCTGCCGAATGAATTTCGTCTTTTTCATAACCTAAATATCGCCACGTCAATTCCTTGAAGCCTTTACGTATCCATTTTGTAGCATCATCTTCGAAATAATTACAATCAAGATAAGAGTTTCCGGTCGACGGGCAAAAGACAAGAATTGTTCTCTTGTTCCATCTTCGTCTTCTGCTGCGTGCTAATCTTTCCAAACGGGTCACACCATCTATCCAATCGGGTATCGACCCTGATCCTCTTTAACTTTTTAGCTCAGCTAACGGCTTTCTTCATTATAAATACTCTCACTTTTTCTTTTTTCTCCAGATCTATTCATTCCAGATCCATTTCCGTTTCCTCTGGACTAACCATATTCGATTATCGGTAGTGACACGTAGGGGAAACTTCAATTTCACGTCCGATTCCTTCAAATCTTTTGAAATCTTTCGAATCTCCTACGAATTTCTTTTTTCCCTTTTCTTAACACCACCACCACCATCATCATCATTATTTCCAATTCCAAAATTAAAAGCCTTAAAACTTACGAAAGGAACGAAAGAGATTATATCATTTTTCGAACTTTGCGGGACATTAATGGGAATGTAAACAAAAAAAAAAAAAAATCAAAACTTTTTTTGTTGTTAAGCACGATTTCCCACGGAAAAAACATAAAATTTCGCTTTAGATAAAAGAAAACAGAAAAAGGCGCGAAAAACGAAAAGAGGTGAGGCGAGGTGAAAGAGAGAGAAAGAAATAGAAAAAGAGAAAAGGAAAAAAAAAATGAAACGAACGAGTCAAGGTTTTCGTAATGGCTTTTTCTTATACGTTTTACGCCGCGTGATATATATATATATATATATATATATATATATATATATATACATTTAGCAATTTGAAAATTTATAAATCCTTAAAAAGTAAATTTTACGTCGCAACTCACGTACATACGCCCAAGAGAAAGAGAAAGATAGAATGAGAGAGACAGAGATAGATAGAAAAAAAAAATGTCCGCCATTAAAAATGTTTCTACGACGTTACCCAATTACGACAACGAAAATAATAAAATGAAATAAATTTTTTTTTTCTCTCCTTTTTTTTTTTTATTGGGGGGGTGTGTTTCGCATCGTTATCGCTCCTCTTGAAATAAAATTACAAATCAAGGAAACAAAACAATCGAAAAAAAAAATTCATTCATTCATTCATTCATTTATTCAAACAAACCAACAACAAAAAAAAAAAAATAATTGAAATTAGTAAGAAGAAAAAAAAAATTTTTTTTAGAAAAATTTAAATAAATAATTTCACCGCATTATCATCATCATCATCATCATCCTTATTTACATAACAAAATAAAATTTCCGACTCGCGAATAAAAAGGAAACTTAAAAAAAAAAAAAAAAATTTTTTTCTCTCAACCGCAACCTCCCCCTCCCCACCCAAAAAAAAAAAAAACACCAAATACGACAACTTTAGAAAGTGTAAAAATGGGTGAATGCGGAAGTGGGAGAGAGGGAGGGTAATAAAAAACCGGAAATGCAAAAAAAAAAAAAACCAAACAAAAACCACTCGGATCGCGTCTCCAGCATGTACAGGGTTTTGCACATGAAAAATTTTCCGAAAAAAAAAAAGAAAATCCGATTTTCAGAAATTCGAAAAGTCCGAAAAAACTGAAAAAAAAAGACGAGAGAAGATTTTCTTTTTTTTTTTTGTTAAAAACAAAACGCGAGAAAAAAGAGAGAGAGAAAGAGAAAAAAAAAATAACTTTAAAACTTTAATGGATTCCACTTTTCTCACTCTCTTTTTCTAAAAGTCAATAAAAATGGAAAAAAAATAAAAAAAAATTTTTTTTGCATTTTCTTCTTTTTTTTTTTTTTTTGACGATTATTTAAAAATGTATGAATCGATATAATCCTCTCACGCGCACACTCTCATACCCTTTCTTTCCCCTCCCCCTCAACTAAAAGACGAAAAACTTTTCGATTAATGTTAATAATTATATATAAATATAAATAAAATTTTACCCGAAAACTTTGTTTGTTTGTTCTTGTTGTTTTTAATTGATGATGACGTTTGCTTCAAAAAATTAATTGTCGCGATTGTTTCAAAACTTTTTATTATCTCTACGCGATACGATCGAAAGTTATCATAGTTACGTGATAGAAATCAAGACGTACATTTTTCACGTGGGGAGGTGGGAAGAAACACGCACAAGAGGGATGGGAATTTCTCTCCCCCTTCATTTCGAAAACAATAATATACGAAACCGTTATTAATTTTTCGAAAGCTCGAATAACATTTCATTTTTTTTTTTTTAAATTTTCTTTTATACTAAAGTTTGTGTGTGTGTGTGTGTGTGTGCGTGTGTGCATGCGTGTGCGTTGTTACTTTCATAATATATTTTTTTTTCGTGCTAATAAATTCTCATAAATTCTTTCTTATTATTAAAAAAAAAAATTATTTTCTACCTTTTTTTTTTTCTCTCTCACTTTCGCATGGGGGTCTTTTATTATTTCCTTCCCCCTCTCCTCACATTTTCAACCCCTCACACGCTTTTCCATCGTTAAAAAATTAAAATAATAATAATAATTTCACACTCTATTCGGCGTCAATTTAACATGTCTAACATAAAAGGCTTAACTCATACTTTCCTCGGCCATCGCGCATTCGGGAAGAGGGAGGAGGGAGCGGAGGGAGGAAAAGAGAGGGAGAGTGAGAGAGAGAGGGATGAAGGGAAGGAAGGAAAAAAGATAAAAGTTTGAAAACTTTACAATGCAAAAATAAAAAAAGATTTCGTTCGAGAAAAAGTCTGATAAAAAAAATATTTTAAAATTTTCACCACCACCACCACCCCCTTACCCACTCCCTCCTCCTCCTATTCGACCTAAAACAAAACAGACTCGAATAAAATTTTTATTATTTTTAACCACCTCCCCAATAATAGTAATAATAATAATAATAAATATATAAAGCAACAAAAAAACAAAAATGTAATAAAAAAAAAAAAAAAAATTGTTGAAAAGAAAGAAAGTAGTTTAAAGTTTTTTTTCATTTTTCCACCCACCGTCGGCTCCCCCCCTCCTCACATTTTCATTCTTAAAAATATACATGTATAAGGTGAGCGGGGGAGAGAGGGAGAGAGAGAGAGGTAGAAATCGATTCGTTTATTCAATTATTCAAATTACTTTCAGCCATGCTACGTAATATATATATATAAAAAAAAAAAAATTTTCCGAGTCGGAAAAATAAAATAATCCCATATTAATTTAACTAAAACCATATCCATATCCATATATATATTGCGTGAGTAAAAAATTTATGCTAAACGAAAAAGAAGAAAAAAAAGAACATTCAAAACTATAAATAAATAAAAAAAAAACAATATATATATATAAAATCACTGGAGAAGAAAAACAATAATAATAAATAAAAAAAAATGATGATGATGATGATGATAATAATAATAATACTAACAAGTTTTTTTTCCTACGAAATTCTAGAAAGAAGAAGAAAAAAAAAGCATTAGCATTATTTGATTTATTACAATTTATTGACAAATATATATATATATATATATTTTTTTTTTTTTATTTCCACATTTTTCTTCATTTGTACTTTTTTTAATGACGCGTCGTCACCCTCCTCCCCCCACCCCACCGCTTACCCCCATTTTTTTTATTTTCGAAAGTTTCAGAAAAGAAAGAGAGAGAGAGAGAGAGAGTGAAAAACATTTTCTACGATAAAAGTTTTCTGAAAAACGGTTAAAAAATTTTTTTTTTTGTAAAAGTTACACAAAATAATCTGAGATTTCGAACATGTGATGATGATGATAATGATGATAATGATGATGATGATGATAATGACGCAAGCAGCATCTCTAAAATTAAAATTAAAAAACATGGGAAACCTTTCAGTCGTTACGAATAAACATTCTTTTCATTAAATATAAATTACTTAATTATTATCATTATTATTATTATTATTATTATTATTATTTTAGTTCGACATTTTCGTCGACGCGTCACGTTTTAAACATTCGACACCTGACGTTTTCACCTATTATAATATCTTATTTATTCCTATTAAAACTCATTGGATCGATTACACGTCTTCTGCTTACCACCGTCGAAATTTTCCTTTGAAAAAAAACGACAAAAGACGAAAATAAAAAAAAAAGGTTCGAGAGATAACCTTTTCTTTTTCTTCGGCAAGCAAAAAAAAAAAAAAAAAATCTTTTCATCTTACGGCACTTACGACATAATTCTTTTGTAAAAAGAATAATAATAATAATAACCGTTAACGACGATTTTACAACCATCATCTCTTACATCACTTCAACGTCACGATTGTTAAACAAATTAAATGAATCCCTACCCACTGCCGGCACCACCACCACCACCATCGCCAGCACCACCAACCTTTGAAAAATCAAAGCGTTTTCAAACGTCAAAATTAATGATGGATGATGAATCGAATGAAAAATCATTTTTAAAAAAATCCGACGTATTTATTTAAAAAAAAAAAAACTAATGAACAACGAAAGAAATTCGAAAAATTAATTCGCTGAAATAACGAAGAGTTAGTGGGGGGGCCAAAGCGGGAGATCGGGGGTTAAAGGGAAGAAATTTTTATTTTGTAATCATCGCGTTATCCAAACTCAAATCCTACCCCCCTTTTTTTTTTTAAATTCAATTATCATCATTATGGGGCATTGATTTTTGTTTATCTCTCTCTCTATCTCTCTCAGATTTCGACCTTTAACCCTTTTTTTTTTTTTTACCGTTTCAGGAAGCCTTGTTGAAACGTTTAGGACCAAATGCTCACGCCTTTTCAATGTGTATCACTCATTTGGCACCACCGAGCGTTCAATTAGTACCTGCCAAAGAATACAACGGTGCACCGATAGGTACAAGTTACGACATACGAGCTTACATAGGTAATTTATTAATAAAAAATAATTATTATTATTAAAAAAAAAATTAACGTCACCATCGTCGATCGACTAACTCTACTATAAGAAAAATAATAATAATAATAATAATAATAATAATAATGATAATGATAATGATAATAATGATAATTTTAAAAAAATTCGTTAAAATTTAAAACCTTTACGAATCGTTTTCTTTTTTTTCCCGCCCTTTCTACCCGTTCGAGTCGGCATAAATTTTTAGGATTTTCTCCCCAACCCCTCTCCCACACCACCTCGTTTTAATTACCATATCTTAATTATTATTAATTATTTATTAATTAATTAATACTAATAAAAAATGAAAAAAAAAGGTCGGCCCGTTCGGATAAATTTCTAGAAAAATTCGCACGAGCATTTTATTCTCCAGCGGGTTAATTTCGGACGTTTCGTTCTTTACCGTTATCCCTAAAATATTTCTTTTAATAATAATAATAATAATAATAATAATAATAATAATAATAATAATAAGAAAAATTTCATTAATTTACTTAAAAATTTAGTATATGCAAAGTAAAGAACAATCTCTCTTATAATTATTATTATAAGAGAACTTATCATACTTTTTTTTCGAGGGGGGAAGGGGGAATTAATTTATTTTTCAACGATTTTCCAAATTATTATTATTACTATCATGTTCCTTTTTCATTACTCTACTTTAATTTCACTTCGTTAATTTATTTATTAATATTAAGCGCGAAAACGGTAAAAAAAAAAAAAAAATTTACATTCGTTTACCTTCCCGTTTTTTTTTTTTTTTTTTTAAACAAATTTTTAATTATGTTTAAATAATCGTGCCCCCAATTAAATATCACTACCTTTTATCGACCGCCATCTTTTCCCTCATCAACTTTGCAAAAAAAAACAATGACGTCATCATCAAATTGAACAATTTAAAGAAAAATTTATTTATTTGGTTGGCGCACCTGGAAATTTGAATACGATTTCCACCTGACGAAATTTTAATTAATCATTCCATTGAGAGTGAGAGAGATAGATAGAGAGAGAAAATAAATATAAAATATACAGACGATTAATTAATTCCCCCCCCCCTTTTTTTTTTAAATATAAAATTCGCAAATGAAACCATTTTTTTTTTTTTTTAGCCGACCGTCCAGAAGAGAAACAATCCAGACGAAGCACGGTTAGAATGGGACTTAGAGTTTTGCAAAAAGCATCTAGAAAATCCAGTTTCACCGATAATAATTCCGAAAATTTTTTACAGGTGATAAATAACAATCAAAAAAAAGTTAAATTTTATCATTATTTCAAGAGAAAAACTATTGAATAATTGAAATCACTTATTTATTTATTTATATATATATTTAAGCTATTGTCACTATTTTCTCGCGGTATCGTAAATTTATTTCTTTGTTAAAACCGAAACAAAAGTGAGAACAGAAAAGTGGTTTTGTAACAAAGAGTTAATAATAAAAAATTTTTATTACTTAAATTTTCAGAACGTTTCGGAATTACAACCTGAACCTCCGCGCGTTTTGGTTGAAAAACCATTTTTATTAAGTGACGGAAAAGTCGAATTGGAAGCGACATTAGACAAAGCATTTTATTATCACGGAGAATCCGTGGGAGTCAACGTTCTAGTGAGAAACAACAGTAGGAAAACCGTAAGACGACTAAAGGTGTGTGTATTAAGAACAATTAACAAATTTTTTAGGTACAGTGAAAGGTAAAATTTAAAAAAAAACAAAAAAAATTATTAGTTCGATTAACGACTCTCCTGATCCCCCAGCCCTTCCCTACCCTTCCCCCCTCTCTCATCTCTTCTCACCTTTTACCTTTCGGCAATGTGGAAAATCACTCGCTACGAAACATTTAAATGCTTTTTTTCACGTTATTTTTTTTTATTAGGTATTCATTGTTCAACATGTCGATGTTTGTATGTTTTCAAATGGTAAATTTAAAAACGTAGTAGCGTTAGTTAATAGTAAAGACGAATGCCCTTTACCGCCTTGGACGTCTCTAAATCACACGTATAGCCTTCAACCGACAAAAGGAACGACGAAAAATTGGATAGCTTTAGAGGATTCATTTAATAAACCTGCAAACGTATTAGCATCCACTGTCACGTGTAATTCGAATAGTCCTCAAGATAGAAACGTTTTCGCCATATATGTTTCGTATTATGTCAAAGTGAAAATATTTGTTAGTGCTATGGGTGGGGAATTATCATTAAAACTCCCGTTCACTCTCACTCACGGAATGGATGATATAGTGGACCCATTGGTGTTAGAAGCTAAATTAAACGCGGAAGATTCATCGAATCAAAGGGTTGTTAAATCAAATGATGATGACGAAAAAATAATTAAAAATGCCGAAGTTGAATGTCACGAACCTAATCAATTGAAAACGAAAAACAAAGTTACTAATTTATTATCCGCTAAATGTAAAACAAACAAGAGTAATAATACAATGGAGGATGAAAATGAAATAATTAAATTAGAAGAAGAAAAACCCATTTGAAATTCGGCGTCGACGACTGAAAACAAAAGCAATTTGCTCGGGGATACCATACAAAAAGCTCTTTGCTGCTTTGCATCTAAAGTTAAAAGTTCTGCATGCAAATGACCTAAAGTGACTTTTAAAACACAATTAAAAGTTGTTAATACCTTTGTCGAATACAATTTTTTAATATTAAATTATTATATCAATGTTTTTTATATATTTATTTTATCAAATATATATATTATTATTTTTTACTCAATGTCATACTAATTTCGAATAACATATTTTACTAATAAAAAAAAAAAAAGAGAAAAAAATTAAAACGATAATTCTTTTTAATACACACACACACACACACATATATATACATATATTCCCGAGAGGTTTTTAAAACCCTTCATTAATGTATTTATTCATAACTAACCGAAAATATTGTGCAAAAATGTCATAAATTTATATTTCCTTTTGATTTTTTTATGCCAAAAAAAGGAATCATATATTATTTAAATAATTCAAATAAAACTCATAAAATTACACATTACCAAAAATTTCATAATGAATATTTTACACCCACAATTCAAATCTTTTCAACGAAAATTAAAATCAATATAATATCATTGATATAATTTTTACACATGAGTAAATATTACCTTAATTTCAAAGGATATATGATAAATTAATTTTTAAATATTATTACTTAGATAAACAAGTAATAATAACGAGAAGATTAATGAAATATTTATAAGTGTATCCACAATGCTAAAAATATGTGGTGTAAGCATTCTATAAATAGGACACCAATCACAAACGAAAAAAGTGAAATTCATCAAATCCCCATTATAAATTAATGACACTTATAAAAAAATTCCTCAGTAAAAGCAGGTTAATAATTTTCATTTGTCAAGTTTAAACAATTTTGTCATCTTACATATTAATTAAGAAAATAATTTTAAAATAATATAACAAATAACTTACTGTGATATGGAAAACGTTTATAACCTCTAACAATAAGTTTAGATGATTCTTCATTTTCACTGTAAACTTTAATTAATATATATTTAAAGTTTCCCTCGGAATCGATGTCAACTTCTTTGATAGTTTGAAGAGCACTACTACTCATTTTCAAAGCAGATCTAATAGTAATATTTGCAAAACGAACTGAAAGAAATTAAAAAATTTATAGTAGGAAATACAGTGGAAAAAAAAAAAAATATATTAAAAAAAAATTACAGTATTGAGGTACATATGTATACATGTAAAAAAAAATCAATCGATGATAAAATTTATATAAGAAATCTTACTATTCATAAAACAATATATTAAAAATATTTAATAATTTATTTGATAAACTTTTTTTTACTTTACGACACTGTTAAATAATAAAAATTAAATATGGCGGTTGTAATAAACGCGGTTTGTAAATATCCGACAAATTTATCTTCACTCGGTTTTGTTTACTATTGAAGATATTTAATTCGTTAATAAGTTAAACTTTAAAAAAAAAAAAAAAATTATGCTGGAAATAATATTAATATCGTAAAGTTTTCTCATACTTTTTAATTAAAGATTTTAATTATTTATTGTTTTAATTTTAAACTCGTTGAATTATGGATAAATTTGAAAATAACGGTCGGAGTATGGGGTTATCATCTGTTGAAAAATTATATTCATATGTTCAAAAAGTATATTTTAAATTTCGAAAAGGAGAGGAAAAGTGCAAAATGCTTAGAATATCATTAGAAATTAGATCCGAACTAACAATTTCTCCTGGAAAGGTAAATTTTTTTTCAATTTTTTTTCCTGGTGTGTAGTCATCAATAATTAACCAGCAATAAACATTATAGGTTTTATCATTGCAAATAACAGATGATTTTGATTCAATTTTTTTTTATTCATTAATGCTTACTCAAGAGGATTTTAGTGTGTTAAAATCTCAACAAGGTCTGTTAGTCGATTTTGATCATTTTCCTTCACAGTTAATAAAACTACTGGAAATTTGTAAATCTCAAGATGTCGGAAAGTAAGTTAAACCTTTTTAAAATGAAATAATAAATTTGTGCATTATAAATAAAAAACCTATTAATTTTTTAGCAAATTTATATTAGTTCTTGATGATGAGGATTCAGTATTTGTACAATCTTCCATAGAGTATGACAACGGTTGCATTTATTTAAAAGTAATCGAAACGAATAATTTTAAAAATTTGTGTCATTTATCATTAAAAGTTAAA